AGATAATGAGTTGCATGAAAAAGTTGATAGAACTACCGACTGTACAGTTATACATGTTCAATGGGCGACCACAGGTCGGAGCGCACACGCCAACCAGCGGTCTGCACCAAAACGGCTGCATGAAAACTTTCCGTACCGAATGCAACGTATGTTCTAAAGCATTATGGAGCCGTGGCCTGCTGAAGTGGTCGTCTACGTTACCAGGAGCATGACGACGGTGTGACTATGAGATGTGAGTCCGGAGATGTGATAAGAGATTGTTCTTTGAATGTGTTGGACTTGATGAAGGTTGGGGTGATGTCGGCAAGAGTTTGCGAGAGTTGGCACCCGAAAAGAATGGACAAACAACGACTCATCGGATAACGTGCAAAGAAAAATGGAAAACGGGACAATGGGTGCAGACCTCACTTCTTGTTGAGCGACTTTAATGACTAGGCGAATCATAGGACGGGATTGGTTCTTATGATCAAACTACTCGGCCTGCGGCGAAGGCAAGGAGCAGAGAACGAAGAAGATTAGGAAAACGTGGACTTGCGCTCGTAGCAGACCTACAGCGAAATCACATCGGATTAAAGACAAAGACCATGAATATTCGTTGACAGCATTAAAGTGCTGTACATGATCGCATTGCGGCATACACAAGTGATGTTAAAGATTGACAATATGCCTGGCAGCCAAATGAATGAATACTTTATTCTGTTTTAATTGTGAACATGCCAACAGTTATTTGTCGGCGAAACTCTGCGACAGACTTGCAACTCATGAGAATTCGTAAAGGAGTACCGACGGACATGTGCATGCGAATCTTTAATTACTTACTGATGCAGCAGCCCATTTGTCTAAATAGCAGACCGATGGATTCGCAGCACCGTAAGGAGGATAACATGTGGCGTACCATATTTCGACACCGCTGATTACTATATAGAGGACGGCGAACGCTGCGCTCAATATAGCGTCCTGAAAACGGGTTGAAGTAAATTTCAAAGATGGAAAGAAAATTATACTGTATATCGAAGAGCCTTCACCTTGGCCAGAAAAGACACCGCTGCCAAAAGAAGTACGGTCAATGACAGACATATGGATGCTGCGATGATGACGAACAGTTGACCTTCGGTACGGGTCTTCTGAACGAAAGCATAGAACGGCAGCTTTTCAGCGGCGGCTGCAACGCACGCGATTACAATTGCGCCGGCAATCTGCAATGTGACAATCAGAACTGAAAGCCAATCAACGAACGAACAGATGAACGAGACCAAAACGCAGAAGTTGGCACCAGACTCGATAGCTCGGTGATTTCAACAATCGAATATCCGACGAATCGCGACTTAGTTCAGTCATTAACTTTATCGTTTATGAAATTAACTACAGCCTTTTGACTAAAGCCATATGGAGTACACTGTACGACGTACATGAATCTTCTTCGTACATACTTTCGAATGATGCCGGATCCAGTGGCACATTGGATATGATCACCATTGACATATTACATGTGGTTCCCTGAGTCGAGCCGGTGACTCCAAATCTGTGGCCGAAGTTAAATGTCCTGCTTTTCTGTAGTTATCTGGACACCTATCACCTGAAACCTGGAAATGCAATGGTTTTCTTATAAATATGTAAATGCAGTGATAAAAGGTATAAATTTCTTCAATTAAGCGACGGAGCGATTGAATCCAACACGGTTGTTCAGTTTTGAGGCTAATGACAACGAAAACATGAAGTTAGTTTGAGAAATATAGAGCATAAAAATAGGCCCCACTTGGAACATGCCGAAAAGCTTAAAGCATTCAGGAACGGTCGAGAGAGAAATACCATTGCTAAGTAAGGTGCGAATGATTGCCCGCTCGTTCCAGATATTCCAAATCAGTTGTAGAGGAACGAGGACCAAAATGAGATGACTTCTGGTACCGCTGATTGGTCTTTCGAAAAATGGGGAAAAGATCTAGCAAAATAACCCATCCGGTGTTGAAAGAGGCTCTCTTTGGTGAGAGTGTGCAACGTGTGTTTTGTTCAACTCTTAACAAACAACGTTAATGATGACGCATTGCCTAGTGAAATGCGGTACCGCAGTGCAGCAATGCAAAAGCGCATCCAGCCAGCTGGCCCAGAAATCGTAGACACTGCGGTAAAAAAATGAAATTTAACAGAAAGGCACTCTAAAATCGAAAAAATACTGCTGTTATCTGAGAGAATAACAAATTCTATCAGACCAACACCTGTCACATGTAACGAGAAGAAGTCGTGAACAACAACGAAGAAACATTCACTGCGTGAACACCAATTATTGGTACACAGAGTATGTCTCGCATGCCAAAAATAATGATGTTCGTCATTGCTCTATGCTGTCAATCATAATTTTGCTCTGGTTTCATGACAGTGCTTAACTGCTGCTACTTTTTTCGTCCTTTCTTTGCTTGTATTTTGTGCAATATCTGCGTAATTCCAGCCCGACAACGGCTGCCTGAAAATTTTCCCGTGATGAACTTTAAGCCCTTCCACGTGCCCCAACTGCAAAGCATTTAGAAAAACAGCTAAACGTTCCTTGGTAAATCTTGACATCTTGAATTGATACCGCTGATTTTGCGGGACGCATGCCGATTGGCAGAAAGCTTTGAAAGCAAGACCTTTCCTTCTCTTCTCTCGGCAGTTTAGAGCTCAGTAAACTTCTCTTGTGACCCTTGTGCTGTTCTTGTCCAAGAATCATGGTTTCATACAATGGCTGAAGACGTGGTGGTCGGCTTCGAAAACTACACTCTGTACAGAGTAGATCGATACTTTAAGTCCATGCTTCTTGGGAGTAGTGTAGCTACTTGGATTAACCAATGTAGTGCACCCGATGTTAGATTTTGCTGGAATACTGAACTGGGGAATACGTCTTATCTTGCTGTGTGCAATTTTGTTCTTGCCTCGTTACTCCAACGTGATTCTGGCAAATTTTTGCGTCCTTCCCGATTGCATTCCCTCACAATTACATTCTTCCGCGGATGCCTTCACGAGCTGAGTGTCGAAACATCTGGGAAGGTCTTGTTCGTAGTCGATCGTGATTTCATCAGATACGACAAAGCAAACTTTACTTGTACATACTATTCTGACCTGTCATTAATCTTCTTTGGATATTTCATGGGCGGCCTGTATAATCCTAGAGCAACGGAGGCGCTTATGTTGATGCAACATCCGCTGCCCAACCCCATGAACTTTTCTTGACTTACTTACTTGACTTGATAAAGTCTAAATAAGCGTCTTCAAATTCTGTCGGCAATTATTACAATTAAATTCCGAATACTAAATTAACTCTGCATAAGCGCCCACTCATCCATTTGCATGCTTCTAGGTGCCTAGGAATCATTTCAGCAGGCCATAACTTCATGGTCCCGGTTTTTTACCCACCAGCAATGCATCGGATCAAAAGTAAATTTTATCCTCCCTTATGAGGAATGAAAACATAAGGTACATATGTGGTTAGCATCAGTACCTGCTTATATGAAGATCGTGGAATGCGCTCATAGCAGTTTAGGTGAAACGAATGACCATGCGATGAGACTAAGATAAAAAAATTGCATTGATTCCATTGAAGGAAGGAGCATGAGAAATATATTCAAGCGCATATTTGAACTTAGCTCTATGGAAGTCCATTATTCATAAATTTCTTTTCGGCTTACTCCCTCCACGTTTTCGCGATTTGTCGAACCATTCTCCCACAGAATTCATGGTGCAGCTCTAATTTCCATCACGATGTCGTCAGCCAAGAGCACCATAATTTTTGTTGGTAACGTCTACAATTATAAAGTCACTACAGCGTGTAGGCTTTTGCTTCGTTAGAACATAATTACAGTAATATATCTACTTCGGGTAGATGAAGGCTTACTACTTTGGTCGAAAATCGAATCCACGATTTTCCATTTGGGAGTGCAATGCCCTACCTCCCGAGCTACCGTGACTAATCAGCATGCAATTGTTCGAATGTTTGACAGTAGAGGAAATCGATGTTGCTGTCATTTAAGCATGAAATTAGAAGACAGGTCCTAAACAAAAAGGAAAATAAAACAAAGAAGTGGTAAAGTTCGAAGCATACATCAACTTTGAAATAACTCATTAAGGCTACTCAGTCGTTAGAGCGCCGGATTCGCAATCAAAATATTTCGTCTTAGACACAGGAGTACCCATTTATAGGAAGAACAAATAGACTACGTTCTGCATAGCCAATCCGCTGTGCATGTATTGGCTTCGAAATAAGGCATTTAAGGCCGGTAACCGCGAATCAGACATCAGTACCGCTCCATAAACTCCATGAAAGAAACGCGATATAAGCAGCGCCAATAAATAACATCTAAAGGCAGTAGATATGCCACGAGTCACAAAATTTTTTTCCTTGCTCTAAAACAGCGAATTAACTAATTTTGTTAGTGTTTAGTTAATTTCCAAGCGTTACTTCGCTGAAAACCATAGCAACGAAAAGTTTAGTTCGTTATTCAGCTTTGCCATAAAAACTTGTGTTAAAGATTCGGATGCTAAATTGTAGACTAACAGCAAGAACAGCGTAGACGACGAAGAAAAAGAAAAGTTCAATGTTAAACGCACATATCTAAAGAAGGTTACACAAACATATTGAATCGCTACGTTAAAACACTTACTGCTACGCCGAAAGTAAAGTTCTTCAAATGATACGCAGTCTTTCACGTATGTTCAGCAACTTTCATTAGCTTATTGCTCTACTTAGAAATGTCCGAAGAAGCAAACAGTAATGAGTATGTGTTGAATTCGCGACGATTCATCTGGCGAGTTTCAACTTCGCGTAGAAATTTCCACTCTGGACTGAAAATCGCCAGGTTCAACGTCGATTCATTCTTTTAAAGTTACACGTATTCGAACATGCCGAACCAGTAGTTCATATCTTAATGCAGTTTTATGAAGGCATAGCAATGTTTGGACTTTGGACGATTTCAAGAGCTTCCTTGCCCTGAATTAAAATATTTTGACATTTCAATTTCTAATACCGAATTTACTCGGCGTAAGGGCACGCTCCCTTGCATTTTAGTTTACCTCCCCAACCCCTGAGCACCTGTAGCCATTTGATACAGGGCTAAGTTTCTGAGTTGAATGAGGCAGAAAAAGGACGCTTTCGAGCAACAAACAAATTTCCCACTATCCGTAGGTAAACTTATAGACAAAACATGACTCCGCTGTTCCGGACTAACTACCACATAGTTGTTTTTCAATTGCGATGGTAATCATTACAGTTCAACTGCTGATACGGAATTTATGGGCGCCATCGAACTCCTGTTGCGTCTACGCGCCTATAGGAGTCGTTTAGGCAGACCACAGCCCCACGATGTTTTAACAGCCACGGTGCATTTGATGCAGTATCTTGGAACTTGGAAACCGCCAACAGGCTCGTAGACGAGTTGGTAAACAATACAAAACATAGAAGCACCTCTTTGAGGCGAACCTACTGGCGACGAGGAATATAACCCTTGCCACAGAAATGAAACTTACCCAATGTCAGTCTAAATCACCATTTCTGAAGGTCTGCATAATACATTGGAGTTATCCTGCTGCTTAAGATCTGCAAGCATTCAATGACTGTGATAAAACAACAACAACAGTTGCAGTAACTAAATATCTTAATATCGTGGTATTTGCAATTTTGCTTAAGTGGGTCACTTCATCGTACTTTGAAAGCCGCACGTTCGCAACGCTATCAATGAATTCGTTTTAGTAGAACTAAATAGGACTTTTTCCACAGCTTAACGTTTAGCGCAAAGCTACTGCCAACGAGTCTACTACTAAGCTGTCGGCCGAACGTCGCTCATCCGGCAATCTCGCAACCGATACACTATCGGGCCATCGGACAATAGAATTATATACTCTATCCGAGGCCTGTTTTAATTAAAAAAACGGGAACATGTAAAGGATAAGTAACTACGTGTTAATTCTTCGTGCTAATCAAGCGTTTTTCATTTATCCGCATCAAACAAATCCAAGTTTCACATGGGCACAATCAATTATGTGAGGGTGAGCCGAAGAGATGGGCCTCATACTGGATGTTGGGAGTACTTGAAGTGCTTGCTATAAATATTTCTAGTATGAAATCTAAAGTAGTTTGCACATCGCTAGCACTGGTTTTAGACAGCTAACAACTGATTTTATTTAGGCATTTGAAATCCGATTTAATACGGCTATTGCAGTGTCGGTCAGACACGTTGCATTATGCTGGATACTACTGTAGCTTCAAAAGAATTCGTCTTTTGGGAATATCGAAGTTTGGACAGCGATTTAATGTTTATGATTCATAATTATGGTGCGGGTGTACAATTCTTAGGCTGCAGAGAAATTTGCGTTTTAAAGTGAGAGTTTTCTGCATTAAAGTCAATTTTTTACATTCAGTAGATACCCACATAGATACTCCCGATGTTTCGACACGAAGGTTATATTGGACCATCAGGGAACGTTTTTTCAACCTATCTTTCCTTTTAGAAGGCAAAAGATAACCAAGGAAGAACGGCGAATAATGTTGAGATAACATGAAATTTTTCTGTGGCCAGCTAATATTTTGAAAAAACAATACTAGCCATTATTAGGACGAAACAAATTTCTAATGGGTAACAAATGGGTTCTTTATATGAGGCAATGGTTCTCAAACAAGCCTAAGAAGTTTTGTCGTGCAGAAGTCGAAAAACATTAGATTTCGAAAACTCATTCGAAGAAAACGGAACTGAGTCAAAATTAGCCTTCAGCAGCATTATTACATTTCTGTCGTGTTTTCGTTCTTTACCTTAAGTCAATTGCGTCTCCTCGTGAAAGTTACCAGAACATTGCAGCGCATGCGTAACGTCGTAATGCGCCTGCGAACGACAGAACAGCTGCTTGCAATACCACAGCAGTTCTAAGTAAACGTCAATTTGTCCAGCATTCTGAAAAGGGTGGTAGTGCAGGAAATCGGGTTTAAGGGTTTTTATGCCATTCAAGGCAGCTTTCTCTCTGTGAAGAAGAAGGACATTTAACGTATGATTTCTCCAAGATCAGATTTCACGGTTTATTGAATAGTCTCATTGCTCCTAGCGTCCCACAGGGATCATTTGAGAAGACCACGGCTCCATGGCATTTGAGCTTTTACAGTGCCAGGCGTATCTTGCATTATTTTGTCCGCTAGAGCCACCTCGCGCTCATCACGATCGATGTTTCAGGAGTTAGTCAACTTATGATGATTATGCAGTAGCATATAAGAAGTACCATCTAGGAGCAAGTGATCATGCGACTCCGTTGTGAAATCTGCTCTTCTAGAAGTTATGCTCAATTTGACTTTGTTGTGTATGGTAAATGTTTTTCACCGGCGTTTTACCTCAGAATGCACCCTGCAATAGACGGAATTTTGCACAGTAAGCTTTCGCGGTGGCAGCCACGTGGAAGTAGACGATTACGCATTATCCTGGCAAGGCAAACAAATTGGAATGGGTCAGTTGGACATTACTTTCCCTATTAAAAGTCAAGTGCAAACATTTCCTTTTCGCGTAGAATCTATAACTGTTGAAGCAGAAACAGACCGGAAAAATCATTGCAATCAAATATTGGCACTTTACCTTCTGACTCCTAAGACACTCTTAATTCGAACGAACGACTGATATGATGACCTTGCTGCTTTCGCTGAGATGTTATTCAGTTCCGAAAACTTACGCTGTTTCAAAGATCCGTTTCTACACTCCAACTGTGTTGAAAGGTAGGTCTGCTTCTCTTGCACGTGGTGTTTATTACCTATGTCGAAATGTCGTCATTTTAGAAGAAGACAAGAGTATGTGATCACGCTTCACGTGTAGACGATTTTCCAAAACGAAATAAACAGGCAATTAGCACTGAAGTAGAAATGCAAACTTACTATTTCGGCTACCTTTAAGATTATTCGCCAAA